CCTAAATTTATCTTGCATTTTTAATTAAACTCCTAAATTTTTATTGAAGCTAATAAGCCTTTAAATTTGATAATTTAAACAATTTATCTCTTTTTCTTACAATGGACTTAATGCTCATTTGTGTCTTACTTGCATGGATAAAATATTGATATGTCATTGACTATATAGTAGATATTGACTTTATCTATGCAAGTAAGGTATAAACATATATTAAGTCTACTATAAAGAAAAGCGTTAAATTACTCAAATAGCCAAGTTCAAAGACTTATTTGTTTCGATAAAAGTTTAGGAACTTAATTACGAATCTAGGGTAAGTTTGTAGGCTAAATGTAGGGTTTTGTGTATTTAATATTTAGTAAGTATTACAATTAAAGTTAAACAAAGATAGTATGATGTTCCATGGGGTAAGCTTATATATATGCTTATATTATTAAAAGTAAATTCATAATTTAAATAATTACAAAGGAGGGAGGCAAGACTACAAGGTATGAAGTCGCCAAGAACATTGCTAGATTAAAGCAAGGAGGCAACCAAATAAAACTTTTTAGTAAATATCAGTTCCAACTATCTCACCTCACTCCTAATAAGGTATGGAGTGGCCGAGAACAATGTCAAATATACCAAAGGGAGTTGATAAGGTAAAATCTTACTAAAGATCGCAACCATCCTTTCTCCTCATGGGTATTAACTAGTTTATTAAACTATACTTAAAATTTTAGTAGCAATGACGGGAATTAACCTCTAACCCAACATCCAACATAAAAGCTAGCAATTTTGAATAACTTTCAGTTTGGATTGGCATTTTAGTTTACCAGTCTGGATTGAAAGAACAAAAAAAAGTTTGCAACTTTTCCCTCAAATGATGGCCAACAACTTTAATTGGACTTAATTGCACATTGATGATAAGTTCAAGGGTTAGTTGATGCCTTTATTTCAGAAAATAACGGGTCTTAGTGTTGGGTCGGAGCTCCAACAGGCTGATGGGCTCACCAGCGGAACACTACAGGGTCGAGGCTGGAGCTGGGCAGACTCCGGATTCCAATTTGACGACTTCTTTCTGGTTCCGAATCCAATTTCTCTGCTCGTGGAAAACTCAGTTTAGAAGAAGGAGATGGGAACGGTGGAACCCAGTTTGGAAAAATTGTTGGAGCAGAAGAAGCGAATCAGGAACCCTCTTGTTCCAGTCAGTAATGCCCCTTGCAAAATTTCATTATTTTTTAAGTATAATCTGTTCGGACTCTAGTTTTGAATCTTTCGATATGTTTTCTTAGCAAATTTTAAGGAAATGAATGAAATTGAAATGTGCTTGGTTGCAAGTTGAAAACTTTTGGTTCAGTTTTAGGGAATTTGAAATTTGGTGCTGCAGATCCATTTTCAAGAGAAAAATCCCTCTTTTGGAATAATTTTGTTATTATTATTATTATTATTATTATTGATAAAGTGATCTCCTTGGATAGTTGATTTGGAGAATTCATTGTTAGCTTTGACAAGGAATTGTATGACTCCTGCAAGAAGAGGTTTCGGACAGCTTTTATAAATTTATATGGCGACTGAGGTTGCTTTAACTTTTTCTGCATTGTCTCTGTGAAACTGTGACTATGATTGTTAGTTATTCTTAGATCAAATAGAGGCAAAGTGTTAAAGGGGTACTTGCAGTTTAAATAAGAGTTGGGCACTGAACTCTTGCTTTCAGCAAAAGCTTTAGAAGAAAAAACAAGCTTGACCCTAAATTTGTGTTATTTTATGTCGATTTGTGTTTAGAATTAGCTAATCTTGATTGATTCATTCGGCGTTTGTATAGATGATGATTAGTCTAGCACTTGGAAAGTATGTTGTCTCTTTTTTCCTAGTTATTATTGTCATTACATTTTTGGTTGGTTTATTATATGGAGGAGGGTTAATGCATCAAACTTTGGTATGATGATCAATTCTTCAATCTTGATGTGAATGGCTCAAAGCAGCAGTGGGCAATTCTTTTTTCAATAGTGGTCATAAATTTCTTGATGGTAAATTTTTGAAGACATGGGAGGGAGACGCATGATATTTAATTAATTCTCTGTTATTTCTTACGCTGGTAGATTTCTTGCTTCATTTTGGCATTTTAAATTGCTGTTGTGTTTATATTGCTATGAAAAATCTCTAAACCAGCAAGTATACTGCAGTATTTACAGCCTTTTCCTTTTCATTCTTAAAAACTAGCGGCTTTATTATTATATTTCATTTTTTTTGACTGTTGTGAGTTCAACAGGTGCACTTATGACTGCAGGGGGTGCTCACTGCTGGATTAATCAGTTTTAGGCGAGGCAATTCCAAGTTGGGTCAGATGTTAATGAGAGCTAGGGTAGTTGTTCAGGGGGCAACAGTGGCACTTATGGTTGGCACAGCATTCTACGATGATGGAAATCTCTGGAAATCGAGTTAGACTCTCTAACTTGCTTTGAGTTTTTCAAAGTATCACGTTAGTTCTTCTTACCTGAAAACAATACTAAATAGGGGACACGGGACAATGTTCCTCATTGGAGAACTTATAAGTTTTAATTTCTGCCTTTATTTTTATCTAGTCCATTCTAAGCCTTACTAGCTATGAGCTATGAGCTATGAGCCTATGACATACAATTATACACTCTTAACAAATAAAATGTAATTGCAGTAGAAGTTAAATAATGATGATTCATTTTGAAAACACATTTCTATCCATTGAAAATCTGATAATTTAACTAATAGTAGGGATGCTCTGCACTTAAAAACAAGATATAGCACAGGCAAGCATTTATCTGTTGAAAAACATTAGCTAGTTGGATGTTTAATTCCTGTACATAAAATCCAACTAACTTTTAAGCTGCTGGAAAACTATGCTAATTTTAGGAACTGGGAAAATTTCAAATAAGCTGGTTTTCATAAACTAGAAACCATTTAAACATCAGAACCTTAAGTTTAATCTACAAATTATGTTCAGTTTAGACCAGCTTTACAAGATATACATAGAGTGGAGTCTTCTTATAATGTATGCTAACTGAAGTTTCAAAGCTGAGCCAGGATAGTTTTTGTTAGAATTTACAAACTTGTCTAACCAAGTTCAGGCTTCCAGGGAAAGGTTCCTAGCTTTCTGAGGTCCTTGTACTCCCTTAAACTTAGCTAACCTGCAACCTGTTAAACTAGTTTGTGAGCTAATAAGCCTGTAAGTGGATGTTACTAACCAATCTATAACTAAAAACTATTAATCATTTAGTGAACAAATATAGGCAATACACCAAGTTCAGAACATGAGACAATCAATTCTTAACAATTCTTAGTTAGCAAAACAGTTTAGGGGATCTGGTTAACAAATAGATGGGCACAAACAATGGCAACCAGATTCCCAATATCATTCTATGGAGTCAATAAACAATATGGGGTGCACACACACAATAAGCTAGGTCCTGCCTTGACTATTCCCTACTGCCAGAGGTCAATGTCTATACAATAAGTTGCTAACAACAGCACAATGAGTACCCAGTTTTGTTCGGGTCTATATCTCCATAGAAAATTATAACAATAAGCATGATATCATATATTTATACCACTGGATATATCAGAGCAATTTCAATAACAAGCATGCAAGTCTTTTAATTCAATAAATTCACAATTAGAGCATGTAGAAGCATTTCTATTTCCATTCTAATCTTTTTGTTTACCTTGAAACAATTCTAACTCAGTTACTTAACTTATTTGCAGGTAAGTTGATCCTTATACCCTTAAATCATGATGCATACTCACGAACATTCAGCTAACACATTTGCATAATGCAACCAGGTAATTCCCTAGCTGTTGTACAGATTTTTAGTCATTAAATTAATCTATCCTTAGTCACAGATTTAACAAGTAACAAACTCTTGCCTTTACCGTACACAAAACCTGATATGGAAGAACTCCCATAGCTTCTTCAATTTCCTGTGTTCTGCTGCCCAACAGAACTTCCCACCTTTTCTTTTCCTCTCTCAGCTGAAGGGTCGATGCAAAATGATAAGTTTGAGCCTATATTCATTCAAACTTTAACAATTCAGACGAATAGCCAACTTTACTGGAAAATCAATGAAATCCACTAAATCTTCTAAAAGTCTCAACATGCAGACCTTTTACATCGAACGCTCACTGTTACATGCAGCAAACAGAATAACCATGCGTATCTAATCCCAATCTGTAAATCAGTTAATTGACGCAATCTTATCAGCTTCTAATATTAAGTTCTATAAGTTCTATTATCCTAACGATTAAGGACGGAACTTCCTAGCTTATGACAGATAGGCATAATAGTTTATCCAACCATGCAATTAAGGACTGGCTTATGACAATTTTGTATTTCAAATATGGAATTTTATAAGTCTACTGTCAATAAAATTACCATTCCAAGAGATTAGAGAAGATGCATTTTCGGCCACTGGTATTTAGAAACTATTTGAATGTTATGTTCTATTATTTTAGATAATAGCATTTGATGATTGCAGAAGGCTGCTTGATTTGATCGAACATTGTGATTCATTTGCTTAAAGAGAAGCATTTTTTTTTTTTTCATATCTGCTAGCAAAGGGAGTGTCTCAAGTTTTTGATTGGCCAAAAAAGAAGGGCAAACCACCATTTTGCTCTGCAACTTTATCTGTACTAGGAGTTTGCTTCTCGACCTTGATTTATAAGAAAATTGAACCAACGAGTGACCTTTTCTTGTGACATGGGCAATTCTGGCTGACATGG